CGTGCCGGGGGCCACGCTGCCCGCGTTCTTCCGAGCTGCTCCCCCGGGGCCCGCTGGTGAAGTCCGAACGGGGAGAAGAGCACGACCGCAGGACTGGAGAGGCCAGGTCCGTCCTCGTGGCAAACTCGGGGGAAAGCCCAGGTGGCGCACCCATTACCCTACCCCTTTACTACTTTACAACGGAAATTAAAAAAAAAAAAAAAACGCCAACAAGATACACTTTTTCCGAACCATTAAATTACAATGAAAGGAGGAGAAAAAAAAAAAGACAAATATCTTCGAGAAAGAAATACTGCAAAAACACAGTATGCGAGAATGACTTGTGTGCATCAGTTGCTCAGGACAGCAAGCGGTCTACTCTCCCAAGCCCTTCAGTCCCACTGGCCAGCGCCAGGCCTCTACTGCTGCCCCTCCTTCTTCTCCTCTCCGCTGGCGCCGGAGCCGGAGCCGCCGTCGCCGCCGCTGCTGCTGCTGCCCTCCCTCTCCGACGCCATCTGGAAACCAGAGGAGAGCCACAGGTCAGGTCTTCCCGAAGCTGCAGCGAGCAGGATACCCCCCCGGGTGCTTGCACTGAGCATCAGGTGCACCGCGTGTGGAAAAGAACCCCGGCCGTTTGGGTCCTGCAGCTGCCTCTGAACACAGGTCACACGTGAAGCCACCTGGTCTCATCGCGCACTGTGCACAGCCACGCCGCCGTTCAAAAAGACTATTCATTTACAAAGGAGGTGGGGGGGGGTGACAATTTAACAAAAAAGACAACTCAAGAGTGCACTTTAGAACATTAATAAGGGCACATTTTCATTTGCCTTCACCTTCTTACCAACCCAGACCAATTATCCAAGAAGGGTAAATTAATAACTAGTGAAAAGACGATGGCTAAAAACCGTACTCTGAAATTAAACGATGACCAATCTTTAATTCTTAATTCAACCCAGAGTGATTTAGATCTTCTCTCTATTCAGCTGGGACTTGCACTCCAGTCATCAGATGTGAAGCGCCCTCTTCAGGGGAGCAACAGAAGTGTTCTACACCTGGGATTTGAACCCATGACTACCCAGTTTGGAGCCCAGAGCCCTGTCCGCTACCCCACACTGCCAAGCCTGGTTAAGGGCCCCTCACCTTCTTGTAGGCCATCTCGAACAGCTTGAGGGAGGCCTGCTGCAGGTTGGAGGCCGCCTGCTTGATGCTCTCCCCCGTCTCGCTGTCCTTCCGCGACAGCAGCTCTCGCACTTTGGCGATCTCTTCTCTGAGCTTGTTGCACTTCGGGGGAAAACGGGGAGAGAGAGGAAAAACACACGTTGATATGCGCAGGCGAACGGGGGGGGACACACTCGGCTTTTCTTGGTCACAGACAACTGTTGAAGACGTCCGCAAAAGCCCAAAAATGACAGAAACGGGGCAGAGGAGTGGACCAAAGAAAGTGTTCAGAAATCCTGTCTCCTTAGACAAGTGAGCCACAACCCCAGACACTTTCATGACATTTTAACATTTACAAAACTACAAACAGAAAGCTTACAGCATCACTTTGGGTAAAACAGTATTGAAAAGGGGGTGACTTCACTTTATCTCAAGACCCATCAGACCTCCGCTAAACACAAACAGTTCTGCAGAAGAAGTCAGTTGTCACATTCACGGCACAGCTCTTCACTAAGAGGCACTGAGCTCTCCTGCTGCTCCCAACGAGAGACACACCTCATCAGCAGGGAGCTGGTCCTTAAACTCCTCCATCTTGGACTCGGTGTCATGGACGATACCCTCCGCCATGTTCACAGCCTCTACACGTTCCTGGGCAAAGCACAAAAAAAAAAACAGTCACACACGCTATGCCATGTTAACAGTCTAAAACCTGCTCGCTGTTGAAACAGATGCCTAAAACCAATTCCCAGATCTTGCTTCGGCAGGATTTGGGTTCTGAATGCACCAGTTCACAGATTCAAAAAGGCACAGTGTAGCTCAGTGCAGTGTTGAAATAAGTTTTGCTGTGGAGGCACCTGGAGAGCTGAAACCAGAGAGGCCAAGGTCCATCTGCTGGATGGACATTCCCAAGTCTCTTTAGGCCCTAGATTTGACTGTAAGTAACAACCTACGTCCTAGAGTCGACTTGGCACAAACATTTAAACCTTAACACAGAATACGAACTCCACAGATTGTTCAGCTGGTCCGAGAAATGTCAAACCCTCTACAGGTGCCCCCTGCCAGCCCAATAAATTTCTGACCATCTCCGAATCGCAACAGATGCGTTAACCCAGAGCGAACTCTGAAGCATCCCCTTTTGTGCATCGTTGGTGTGTGCTTTCCGAAAAGCGTCAAGCTGCCCCCCTGGGGAAGAGGAGCGATGGGAATCGGGACCGCACTGCACTCAGGAAAAGGAGCAGCTCTCCTGCAACCACACCCCCTACCCACCTTCCTCCTCCTGTCCTCCTCGGCGTACTTCTCTGCGTTCTTAATCATGTTCTCGATGTCATCTTTACTGAGACCCCCGGACGACTGGATCACGACTGTGGAAACGGCAAGGAAATCGCAAGCGTGACTGACCGTCGCTGACCCTCGACGCGAGGAGTTAAAACGTGAAAGAAAATCGTTGAAGAAACCAGCCTTAAAAACAATCTCACGCTCATCACACATTATAACGCCAAATCAAGCAATTAAATAACCAATAAAGCTGGCGATTTTTTAAATTCCGATATTCCTAAAACAACTGAAATCCTCCTGGTGTCATAGCAGTGTCTGTGCTCAGTGGTAGAAACTCTCTCCCCGGTTTTGGGTCAGAATGATGTGTTGATAGAAAGCATCACAGCACAGCTGCTACAGGAGACGAGACAGATCCACTATGAGATTAGAGTAAAAATGCGTCCTTACTCTGCTGCTCCCGCCCGGTGCCCTTGTCCTTGGCGGATACGTGCACAATTCCGTTGGCATCGATGTCAAAGGTGACCTCAATCTGGGGCACCCCTCGGGGGGCAGGGGGGATCCCCACCTGGAGAGACGAGACGAGACCGCATTGGGATGAGAGGGGCGGACAGACCGGCGATGCTATGCAATGGCTGACAGATCAGCTGGCTCCTTCAAGCCAAACATCAGCTGGGTCATGAACCTTGGGGAGCCGTTAAGGTACATGAAGTCGGAAAAATACTAAGGCATGAAATCACAGATGAGTGATGGGGGGCTGGGGGGCTGTTAATAACCCAGCCCCACCCTGCACGGCGAAGAAAGAGAGGCGACGCCTACCAGAGTGAACTGGCCCAGAAGCTTGTTGTCGGCTGCCATATCTCTCTCTCCCTGGCACACCTTGATCTCCACCTGCGTCTGCCCGTCGGCGGCGGTGGAGAAGACCTGTGGGCAGGGAGACGGGGTAAAGACACTGGCAACCACATGCTGCTGGTACAAATCAAGGAACTGTCATGCACCCCTGCAGGGGGTCTCCGTGTACCCCAGGCATCCCGATCCTAGAGACCCACACTCCTGTCGGTTTCTGTTCTGTTCTGGCCAAGCTGACAGCTCCACCACTGAATTTTCATTGGACTCAATCACAGGATGAAACTGCACTGCGTGACTGTTTTCAGATTTTACGCTCCTTGGAGGCAGCCCTTTACCAATTGCATTCCCAAATTAAAATCTAATCCCAGGCTCGTGAGCTGACAAAGTCATGTTGTAACGAGCTGACAAAGCAATGTTTTGCTAATGTTCCAATCAAGCAGCTCATTAATTCAATTAAGGCTTCAATGAAGTAATTAAGCTGGGCTGGAATGAACACCAGCAGGCGAGTGGGCCTCCAGGAGCGGCTCCGCAGGGAGGGCAGAGCGGGGTCCCCACCTGGCTCTTCTTGGTGGGGATGGTGGTGTTGCGGTTGATGAGCTTGGTGAAGACCCCCCCCAGGGTCTCGATGCCCAGCGACAGGGGGGTGACGTCCAACAGCAGCACGTCCGTGACGTCCCCCGCCAGCACCCCGCCCTGGATGGCGGCCCCGATGGCCACCGCCTCGTCGGGGTTCACCGACTTGCTGGGGGCGCGGCCGAACAGGTCCTGCACGGTCTGCTGCACCTGGGGCGGGACACCGGAGCAGGCGTCAGACTCCGCAGAGACGCACGTCCGCAAGAGCCCGTTTACATGTGCAGAGACTCGAGGAAAGCTTCGTTCTAGCACGGTTTTGAAACACAATTATAGGATAAAGTGAAACACAATCAAGCCAAAGACGGCAAGCAGTTTAAATACATTAAGCAGAAGTGATGAAGTTCGGCTTTGCTGGTCCACACAGAAAACTCGTTAAGGCTGGTTAATTCTTCCAGGTTTTCAGCCGGTGAGCACCCCCCAGTCTAGGGCTGACCCCAGCGTGTGGGTCTCCCGCTCAGTCGAACGCTGCTGGGCGCGAGGGAATTTAAAGCACATCTGCACAACTTATATTTTCCACGATGAGCACAACTTGCTCCGTTCTGCTTCCCTAGCTCTGAATAAGACTCCTTTGCTAAATGCTTGTCATTTCAGTTACAACTGTTTCCTGCATTCAATCAGAAGAGGTACACTGGCAGCAGGGGAAATGGAGAACACACATTGAATCGAAGTTGCCTACACAAAGAGTGTACTCCGGCACATTACGGCAGTCAAGCGGACTAGATGTTGAACACTAATAAAGTGGAGGCTGGTTAGAACATGTTTTTTAGCTGTGTGTCCTTCGCTGGTGCAATGGGTCTGCTCTGACGGCACTCAGTGACCCTGCTCACCCGCAGCTCTGTCTTCATTGACAGCCGTTTTCCTTACCACAGTCCAGAATTTTTAATTTTGTTCCTGACGAGTGGGGGGAGTGGGGGGGGGCTTTATCAAGAACAACTTCTGGAACAGACAGGAAAGGTCACAAAATCGTGGCCCCAGACCACAGGTGCAGGAAGCGGAAATCCACTTCGGATAAACCCGATCTGGCCATCGGAGAGGCCCGGCGAGCCGAGGGGCGCAGCGGTTACCTTCGGCATGCGCGTCATGCCGCCCACCAGCAGCACCTCTCCGATTTCGCTCTTGCCGACTTCCGCGTCCTGCATGGCCTTCTGGCACGGAGCTACGGTCCGGCGGATCAGGTCGGCCACGATGCCCTCGAACTGAGAGCGGGTCAGCTTCATGTTCAAGTGCTTGGGGCCGGAGGCGTCCATCGTCAGGTAGGGCAGGTTGATGTCGGTCTGCGTGGAGCAGAGAGAGAAGGGCCGGTTAGCAGCGCCCTGCTGATTTAGCCCGAGACCAAGACGACAGCCGACTTCCTGGCAGCGCAGATCAGCTCCTGACCTCGGTGCTCTTTAAACCTTTAGAGCCGGGAAAGGCTTGGTCTTCTCCAATTACATAATCGAGGGCTCAGGTACAAAGAAAACCAGAACCCTTTTGGCCCTCCAGGAACTGGAGTTGTGCACCCCTCTCTTATGCCCAATACACAAGCAGAATGTGAAAGGACACCCAAAAAATAAAACTGCACCACTAACACAGCATTTTAAAATATCCTCAGAAATGCTAAAAAACAGACCTCCTCCTGGTGTGAAAATATTCACAGAAATAAAAGCAGCAGCTAATTAACGCCACCGGGGAAAACAGTCCTTTCTAACCTTATAATCTGTGTGCCCCCAGACTAGGGCTGCCCCCAGTGTTGGGGGGCAGCCCACTCTCGGAGGGGCAAAGCACTGCCACAGCCCGGCACCAGCAGCCGCTAAAACAGCGCCTCCTAGAGCCCGACCACACAGGCAGCGCCTTCCTCTCCCAGCAGAGTAACACCGGCGCAGGCACGGCAGCACGCCTGCGCAGCTGACTGCCGCTGGGATGAGCAGGCGAAGAGCCTCTGACGTGAAACAACCTGTTGCACAGGAGGCCAAAATCCAGAACTATATAATCATTTACGCCACAGATCTCTGGAATACAATATCCCACACACCTGCACTACCGGGGACTCCCAGGTCTTGTGTTGGGACTAATCCTACAATCAATATAAATTTCACTGTAGCAAACTTATAGCACAGACTTAAAACACGACTGGAGGAGAAAACCATGGGACAGGTGGACGGAATATAAAAAGAAACTAACGGGGACCAATATTTAAAACTCTTCCAAGTTCCTGCAACACAAGACTGAAGACGGCTGGCGAGAAGGGGCTTGGGAAACAGCCGGGATTATCAGAAGAAAGATTGACCTGTAGGGAGGAAGACAGCTCGCACTTGGCCTTCTCCGAGGCCTCCCTCACTCGCTGCAGGGCCATGCTGTCTTTAGTCAGGTCCACGCCAGACTGCAAGACAAAAGGCATCAGACACAACCTAGTTAAAGTTCAATCACATAATCCCGCCTGTCACCAGCCCCACTCCATTCACATCACAGAGGCTGTGTTTCCGTGAGCGCAAGAGAGAACTGAAGGGGAAAACAAAAAAATCTGGGTAATGAATTTACCAACACGTTAAGAGGTCTTTGAACAAGCAACAACTGTAATGTGGATGTGAAACACACTGAGATTCAGATGATTTCAATTAAGGGAACTGGTCCTTCAAGGCTGAAAGAAATCTTAATTTGAAATTTATATGAAAATGAAAATTAAATTAGTTAACAGTTCAGTTCACCTAGGAGCAGTCAAACAGGCAGCATTCTGTTTCGGGTCTTTACAAACTGAGGAGTTAAAGGCTGCCTATTGAATCTGCTGGACTGAGACATACGCATCCAGGCACCCTTGCTCTGCACTGATGGAGATCTTATAAAGAAAAATCTAGGACTCCCGATAGAGCTGGGCCCAGTGCATAGAGATCACAGCGCGCAGACTGACACCCTTCCCAAAGAACAATGAAATTACAGCAAATCGTGCGCCTGCTTGCAAGCCCACACAGGATCACGTGTCCGCACAAAAAGATCTCACTCTTCACACCAACCTCTCTCTTGAACTCCTTGACAATGTGCTTCAGCAGGGCCTGGTCGAAGTCCTCCCCGCCCAGGAAAGTGTCCCCGTTGGTGGACTTCACCTCGAACACCCCCTTCTGGATCTCCAGGACGGAAATATCAAAGGTGCCACCGCCCAGATCGTACACTGCAATTCTGAAGAAGCAAGACAGCGAGACACACGCACAGACAGTCATGAGAGGCTGTGCGTGCTCTTTATGTGATGAGAAGGGATTTAATAAGTTCAGCTACTTGGAGCTGCACACTGGAGGCAGTTATTTACACAAAGGATTGTGGGAGAATAGAACAAGCTACGACGCCATGCTGAAGCTGGTTCTCGGCTTCTTTTAAGGAACGTCTGGATGACGTCCTTCGATCAATTAACTACTAACTACCGAACAGGCCTCCTGTTGTTTGTAACCAATCTTAACTTCTTATGATCCGAGACAATTTCTTGTAAAGGTGTTATAAAATTTTTTAGACCAGGGCACCTCATTTCTCTAGTCCTACTTCCACACTTACATTCTGTCCTGGGACTTATCCAGCCCGTAGGCCAGGGCGGCAGCAGTGGGCTCGTTGATGACCCTCAGCACGTTCAGCCCAGCGATCTGACCGGCATCCTTCGTCGCCTGAAAACACACACCAAGGGCGTGAGAGCACCTCTGGACCTCAGCCTGCTGATCCAGACCTCTTTTTATCCATGAAGACCGTTCACAACTGGAGAAACGCGACGCAAAACTGCTCCCCTCCATCTCTTACAGGGCTGAAGTGCTGCGCTCGAATGACTTCTGAATTCCCGGGCAAAGGCAACAGGTGCTCTTTACCTGTCTCTGGGAGTCGTTGAAGTAAGCAGGCACTGTGATGACCGCATTCTTCACGTTGTGGCCCAGGTAATTCTCTGGGGGGGAGGAGAACATGTACATTTCATTACACTGAGCCAAGACGATGACTCTAACTTTTTAATCTACCGCGACAAGGACTAACGAGCCAGGCGGATCGAAGAATCCCAGACATTAACCATTCCTCGCATTTTTCTAGCACTTTATCTCGTGAGACCTAGAGGTGCTCGACACAGCAGGGGACCCATTTAACCACGCGCTGAGGTTCAGCTCCTGCCGGGGCGACTGTGGCTGCCACCACACAGCAGGCCAGGCGGAGGAGTGGCCGATTCCTTCATAGTGGATGAATTAAGGAGGCAGACTGGGTTAGCACAGGTAGCAAAAGCGGGGGATGTAGCCAGGACACCAGCGTGGACCCCCCCCACCCTTCTGATCTTTAACAGTTGAGGATCGGGACACCCCATTAGAGGTCTGTTACCCAACCCTGTCTGTGTATGCCCGTGCAGAGCCCTACACCTCATCCCTAGGACGGCACCTCCTACGCGCAGTACTGCACATGCTTGCTCAAGGGTGTGGAAATCGTTGTGCGGGGGCGGGAACGGCGCCTCCTACTGGTGCACCAACACCACCTGCAGCAGCAGCAGCAGCCAGGGTTACCTCAGCTAATGGAACACGCACCTGCTGTCTCCTTCATCTTCATGAGGACGAATGCCCCGACCTGGCTGGGGGAGTACACCTTCCCATGCGCCTCCACCCAGGCGTCGCCGTTAGAGGCGCGGACAATCTTATAGGGCACGTTCTTCCTGCGGGACAAAGGCATGCATTCAGCGCGGTCAAAGCATTTGTTTTTGTTTACGAGTGGGCAAATCTCTCTAGGAAGCCTGTCAACTGGTCAACTGCAGGTATGAACTGACATAAGATGGGGGACCACCCACATAAAACGGCTTTTGATAGGTGCTTTCAAGTGACGAATGCCCCGGAGATACGCATTCAAAAAAGACCCAAGACTTACAAGTCTTTCTGGACTTCCGGATCATCGTAGCGACGCCCAATCAGACGCTTGGTGGCGTACAAGGTGTTGCTGGGGTTGGTGACAGCCTGGCGCTTGGCTGGCATCCCCACCAGCCTCTCCCCGTCAGCGCTGAAGGCCACCACCGAGGGCGTCGTCCGTGCCCCCTCTGCATTCTCCAGCACCTGCCCCACAGAGCAGACACAGCCCGTCAATGCCCTTCTCCACCCAGCCCCTGAAGCTGCTCAACACTTCCATCGCTTCTTGAACTGATTCCCGTCACGCCCCACTTGCCTACTGTAGTTTGCTCGATAGATCCAGAATTCGGCAGTCAGAATCCTGACCAGGTAGTGCAAGTAATCACATCACTCCTATCCTGGGGTCCTTGCACTGGTTTCCTGGCAGGTTTTGTGTCGACCTCAAGATCCTCATACTCACCTATAAGGCACTACGTGACTTGGCACCTTTCTGAGCCACTACCGTCCTACTCCCCACCTCACAACCTTCGCTCTCCTAATTGTGATCTCCTATCTGCCCCCCAAGCCCGTCTACACTCTATGAGTGACAGGGCCTTCTCCTGTTATGCCCCATAGCTCTGGAACTCTATGCCTATGGATATCAGAGAGTCACCCCCCCCGAGCTCTTTCAAACCCAGACTCAAAATCCTCATCTTATAGGAAGGGCTTTTATTTAACTGGTCCTCTGTGTGCCTCTTTGCTTTCGTACTCTGTTTTTGGCAGAACTGGTCGAGAACGCTCGAACCCGTGACTGAACAGATGATCGGAGGGGACCTGAGGATGCAGGACGCTGGACCCGTTCTCCTCGGTGCTCCAACGGCGAGTGTGAAGCCACAGGCAAGAACCTACACCGCCAGACTCGCTTACACAGGCGTCTGGCCCGTGTAATTGCTTCAATGACTTCAATTGCTGCTGAAGTCACTGACTTCAACAGCAATCCTTCCAGAGGTCTGAGCCAGCACACATCACACTACAGACAAGAGCACACCTTTCTGCGGATCCCGTTAGGCCCATTCAAGACCTTCAGGGAATGGACGTATTTTGTAGTGTCAGCGAGTCAAGCCCGAGGTTACCGGAAGAAGATGAGTGCAAAGCGGTCTCGACCCCTTACCCTGGACTGTTTCCCCTCCATCACCGCCACGCAGGAGTTGGTAGTTCCCAGGTCAATGCCGATGACCGAACCTTTGATGGCTTCTGACCTGTAACACAAACAGGACGCCCCAGTTCATACTCCGTGCCCCTCGCCGACCTCATGCTGCAACAGCACTGGGAAGACGAGAACCGTCCCCGCGGCACAGACAATCACACGTAACCCCTACTCACGCATAGTCACGCCGGGACACTGTCCGGACAGCATCTCCGCTCAGGGCGTTCCAGCACCCCTGCAAGGCACAAAGCGATCGGGGTTAATGCAGCCCCCACGAGTGTACTGGAAACACAAGACGTCCCGTCACGTAACTCGTTCAACCCTCGAGTAAGCGCCGAAGCTACGAAAATCCAGCACATACATGTACAACAGAGGGTAGTTGAAGCGTCATAACACGTACGCGCTGGGTTATCCGGCTCTGCACAGCTTGCAGCCCCACGGTGATAATGAATGAAGGGATCGCCTCTCTCTACAGCGCTTCAGGGACATGCCGTTGAAGGTCACAAACGCTATCAACTAATTCGCCATCTTACGGGGCGACAACTACAGTGAGACCCGGGATACTAAAAGAAATGGAAGCATTGAGACTCCCCGCTTGGTCGTGTCGTTGTAGCAGACTGAAGGTCGACAACATGTGCAGAACGTGGATGTTACACAAGCCGGAGCTGCGCCAGACGTCGTTCGGGCCCGGCCGGCTACACACACTTGAGTTTAGAGTTTGGGTTTTTTATTTTTAATATCGTCGTAAACAAGCACTCGAATACTGATCTGGCACACAGCCTGTGAACTGGAGATATATATATATAGTCTCCTTTAAACATTCTTTATGGGTTCCTACAAGGCCTATTCAGCACCAAGCCCATATGTAATCTTAAAAAAAGGATCTTAAGAACTAGAAACGAGTTTCTACCTTTGCAGTGGACAGGCAATCGCCAAAGGAACTGAAGTATTTTTTTCTAGAAAATGCCCTAAGCAATCTCTGCTGTCACTTGTCAGGATTCCACCGGCGAGTAATATGAAAGGGTGATCATGAAGACAACTGAACAGAACAGAAATGCTCGGAAACTGGACATATTTAAGTTGACTTTTATCAATGATCTTGGCACGGTAATCACTTTTTTCACCCACCCCGCGAACGAAAAAACTGATCGCATAGGTACAACATGTCCTTACAACCCCTAATCTTCTTCTATGACGTTCAATACAGTTAATATTCGGGGGCATTCCTAGGAAAACAAAAAAAAAACGCAGCTCGCTCACCTTTCTCACAGCTGAGGACAAACTCCTGGAGCAAGTCTTATGAGTGTGCAGGAGAGACCTTGTCGCGGTTTTGGCCACATTCAGCATCATGACGGCGACTCTGCTTTTTAAAATTAAAGGCCGGTGGAAGGATTTGACTCAGCTGGTCTAAATCTTTAGCGCAGCAAATATTTTTAAAGAACACGGCAGACGCTTTACAAGCACAAATACCCTTTACGTCTTCGGGGGAAGGCAAAGTCAAGAGAAACGTGCAGCTTTCCTTAAGGGGGCAAATTAAATTCGTGCAAAAGGCTCAACCTCCCCTACAGCGTCTCGGCTTTCTGGAACTATCCAGCACACATGGGTTGCACCAGACAAGGCCAAAAGGACCTACGTATAGGTGTCTAGCAATTGCCTGTAGCAAATTACAAAATCAATGAGACTATTCGAAAGTCTTTCACTTAACACGAGACTGAATTCCACCAAAAATATGTTTTAAAATACTAATTGAATTATTAAAGAGCTCGATACGTTAGTATTAGCTTATTTCGTGTGGCGGAGTAGTGAAGCCAGCCTGGGTCCTCATGAAACACGCGACTGTGAAGGTCATGCTGGAAAGAGGGCAAAAGTTACGTCGGAGTTACATCATACCGTTTCTGTAGTTGTTAAAGGCTTAAAACGTGTTCCCTAAACTGGAAGACCTTTCTTTTGTCATCGGTGTTAATAAAACGCATGCTCTGGCTTGTTTGTTTGACAAAAACCGCTCCATTTCATGTCTTGACTAGATCACTGTACAATGATTTCTGATTGTATAAGTCTGATGTCAGAGAAAGGCTGTTTCACCGTTAAGTGAATTTGCTTAAGGTAACTGGGTGTTTCATACACATGTTTTTTTTTTAAAAAAAACCGAAATAAATCAGTTTTAATGTGTTTATAATTCTTCAGTTTCCAGGGCGCTTTTTGATGACGTGAAAAGTTATAAGATATTGCAGCTAACAATTAAAATAGTTCTTCCATAATTCCGCATTAAATTTCTTACACGATACAATTAATACTCGGGGTGTACATTCTCTCATGTTTTCAAATCAGGATGGATGTAAAGAGCTTAATGACAGCAATGCTTGGACCTGTTGCACAAAACTCCTTAGCTTATCCCTCAAAAGCTTCCCCCTCAGGTGTAAGTGTGTTGCTCAAAGTAGCTGCAGACACTAATCCTCGTTGAAAGAAGCCGTGTTCAATATTAAGAGGGCTTTCATGCAGACTGCTCTAGAAAGGACGTCACGAATCTTTTCGGTGGGTTGGATCAGTTATGGTTTTTGCTGAAGTCTTCGCGCGGTGTAAATGTTAACCCGAGGCTTGGCGAAGAATAAGCGCCCTCATGGGCTCTCAGACTCCGTCAGTGGTTTATCTTCTACTCCAGCAACACAGACGTGGGGAGGGAGGGCGAGCAGGATTTTATACTTGTCCGTATAGCTCGAATTCGTAGAGGGCTTGAAATTAAATTGATCCAGTGAAACCAATAAATACTTAAATTAAGATGAAGCCGAGCAGGACTGGCTGTTTTTATTTTCGCTCTGCTAATTGAATGAACCCAGTAAAACTAAAACTGGCCCTCTCCTGGTTCACCGTTTACCCAGGTAGGGTTAATCCGCGCTTTCAGACCAGGTCCCGGGTGAACCAAGGTCTACGCCGCAATACCAGTTTGAACCCGCAGAGGGCAGACTATTCACCATCTCGACTATAATAAGAGTAATAGGTTTATTCAATGCTGAAAAGAGAAGAAAGAAAACACAACGTTTCGGCCGTGGAGCCTTCCTCAGGTGCGACACATTATTCCTCTGATAGTATCCTAAAAAAATTAACCAACATTTTTG